CCGACCGACCCTCGACCGACTACCTGCCAACCGCCGGCCGCCGACCCTCCGAACGAAGATTACAAAAAAAACGCACGAGTAAAGACATCAGCGCCTCGAAGATATTTATTGAAGACTTGAAGACCATTGAAAAGATCGTCGGTTATTGAATTCGGTTGTATTGACAGATCGGTCGGCTCGGTTTACGTTAATTAGTAAAGTTTTGAGTTTTAATTTCGAGTGAGCTTGTACGATATCGTACACCTCAGGACCCTACATCGACTGCTTCAGATCGACACGGATAATCGCCACGAGACGGGCATCCGGCGTCTTATAGGATTTCAAGAAATCTTATAAGATTCATAAACCCGTCCAACCTGGGTTGGCGTCACTCGCCTTAATCGACACGGGTGACGTGCTGCGTACCCAACAGATACATTAGTGCGGTGAGCAGTCCATTTTATCCTCAGCAAGCGTCTCCAGCACCACATCTCAAGGACATTTATTATTGGCTACCGTAAAATTGCCTAAATTAGCGATATAGTCGAAGTGTATGTTACAGTTGGCAGAAGCGGTGAACCTACATTTCCTGGGGCTTCTCGAATCTCTATTAGAATGTAATTCGACGGTCCTCACCAAGCTGCTGCCGCTGTGGACTCCTGTGCTTCACTCGCCGCTCTTCAATGTAAGTTAAATATTCTTTTTTTTTATGATTGAAGGATTACTGGTGGCCCTGAGGCCTTTCCAGTTTCATCAGGACAGGTGGGCGAGCAAAGGCTCAGCCAGGAGGAGTGGGATTTGCTAACAGCTGCCCGAACGCCTCCGAAGGAGACCTAACAACTCAAGAACAACTGCTTCGCGAATAGGTCTACTACTGCAGCGGAATCGCGACCCGCTGAGAAGATCCGGCGAGAAACTCAGCGAGCTGATGCGTGGGTTAGGTTGCACGTCTTTATCGAGTTCGACGAGTACGGTTACCAGAGTCCCTAAGCCTGCTCCTAGTGTTAGACCTGAAGGCGTTTAATGCAAAGGTTATTGGATCTGATGGATCCGTAAGGACGTGTCTAGGGCGTCGACGGTGACTGGCTCCTGCGTGATCAGGATTCGAGGAGTAGTCAGCGGCGGCAACGATAAGGCGGTTATCGTGTTAAGTCTTTAAACATGCAACAAATCTATCAATACGAAACAGGTAGTACGAATAAATGAGGCCGTCAGCACAAAAGTGGCCTAACCACAATTCATATTCGTGCTTATGTATTGCAATTTATTTAAAACTTAATAAATTTTGATGCTAAATCGGCCTTTCGTTATATATGTGGGAATATTTAGGTGTAACCATTAGCCACACCGACCTGACAGATGACAGATGGTGCATGAAGTATAAGTGACAGAATGATTAAGACGAAATAAAAAAAGACGTATATTGTTGTGAGCTGATGATTAAATAAAATTTAACAAATTCGCTAATTTCATTGTGCACCGCGATCCCACATACCTATATATGTATAGTTTCAATCCATAGCTAACAGATGATTTTGTAAACATCATTTTAGCGCGTATTTCTCCATACTAACTGTGGTAACTGGTAAGTTTAGGCTACTTTTGCGCTGACGACTACAAATAAAACAGTAGCTACAGCGAAACGCGAGGCTCGTGCTAATAACAATATTTCTAGGACTTAGAAGACAATGTTTCCTGATAACCAGCCTAAAATCATGGACAAGCAATTTTATCGCATGGACGTAAATTCATGAAGAATGGAAGGAGTTAGAAAAAAAGGAACTCCAGATTTCTTTACTTATTTTAGTATAGTACACACAGTCTGTGTCAGATTCCCTTAAAGTTCTTTAGACTTTCAACAGTGTTTTTCGGACCTGATTACTTAAGTGCTTATTGAGTTGTCGTATGATAATACTTTTTTTGCAATTTCATCTAATTTTACGGTTAAGGTTATGTTAGTGATTACCGAAGCCAGAATCACATCACTACCCACCTTGAGAAACCTTTTTTTTTTTTAATTTTTTTTTATTGCTTAGATGGATGGACGAGCTCACCGCCCACCTGGTGTTAAGTGGTTACTGGAGCCCATAGACATCTACAACGTAAATGCCGCCACCCATCTTGAGATATAAGTTCTAAGGTCTCAAGTATAGTTACAACGGCTGCCCCACCTTTCAAACCGAAACGCATTACTTCTTCACGGCCGAAATAGGCGGGGCCGTGGTACCTACCCGTGCATACTCACAAGAGGTCCTACCACCAGTAATGCTAGGTCTTGCGTGTATCCATTGTAATAAGTTGTACTGTGACGTCAGATGTCCCGGCACGTGGCTCAGCGCGTGGAGGCGTGCCGCGAGTCTGTGGGCGCGGGGGGAGCGCGGGGACTGGGGGGAGGGGACGCTCGACAACAACGCAGCCTCCATCGACTCCTGGCTAAAATGGCACAACTAGAACTGCAACCGCATTCCTTTTATTTCATTTAAAAAAAATCATTATGTTAAGCTTCATTAGTATGTTAAACATAATACATATCGACGCTTGAAAGGCAAACGTGACTAAGCGACATGCGTGAACTTTACAGTAGACTAATTTAAAGTTGAAACACCTGAAAAAAAATATATTTTAACGAATCTAGCTGTAGGATTGAAATGAGTTTAATAGAACTAGAAATATTTTTTTTTTGCGCATCGAATATGGTTATTGCCTATCATTTATGTATAAAGCAGGTATTGTCGCTTAGTCACGTTTGCCTTTCAAGCGTCGACATGTAATTCTAGCATTATACTGGGTGTTAGGAGACCGCTTCTGAAAACGAATTTTCAGTAGTAGTACTAACTAACTAACTAACTGGGACGGAAAAAATCGATCCAGCATCGATAGCATTATTTACTCTCCATCATGTTAGTACAGCTGAATGAAACGATAATTTTATAAAAAATACATTACTAGACTTAAAAATAAAACCAGCAATGAAACACAAAGTCAAGAACAGTTAATCCTCGGATCAACGAACGCCCGGGCGGGGCGTTTTTTTACACGCACATCGACGCGGCGCCGCGCTGGTACCGCGCTCTCCAAAATTTACAATTTTGTGGGTACAAAATTTTCGTTTTACGAAATCGGTCTTCTAACACTTAGTATAGTGCTACTAATAGAAACTATTCCCAAAACAAAGACAGCGTTGGTCATTAAGAAAATTCACATACGAAAAACATATTTTACGAGTGCGTTTTTTTATTGCAAGCAATGTATTGTATTTAAAGGTCAACAGACGCGCGAGTTCTATAGTCTTATAGAAGCAGGGACTGATTCTGTTAGCTGTTTTTGAGTTAAATTACTGATTCATGGAATATGAAGTAACTAGAGCGACGTGTGTTGATTTACGTTACAGAACTTTGGTAATGCCTTTATAGCATCTTGTCGGTAGGTCTATCTACATCATTTTAAATATCAGTTTTATTAATTTCTATTTGTACGCTACTATAGTTAATATTGGTTTTTTGAAATATAATAAAATGTGAGTGTTTTTAATCCTATAATTATTGTAAATTAAGATTAAAAAAATGTATAATACAATTTTTATTGTCGCCATTAGCTTACGGTTTGATTGGTATTAAACTTTTACGTTTCCATCGCCACGAATATATTTTCTCTACATATACGAAAATGCCTATATATATATACAAACGCACAATAAATAATACTTTTACTTAGACAATTTAGACAGACCATACATCTGTTTGCTAAGACGATTTTTTTATTGGATAGATGAACGAACTAAGGGCTCACTTGGTGTGTACCTTGAAATGTGAGTTCTAACTCTCAGTTTGAACAGTACAACAGCTGCCACACTCTTCAAACCGAAACGCATTGCTGCTTCACGGCAGAAATAGGCAGGTTGGTGGTACCTACCCGCGCGGACTCACAAGACGCCTTGCCACCAGTATGCTATTTATAACATCGTGTTTTCGTTATATTTTCTTCGACTTTCACAAACCGTCGGCATAACCAAAACTACTTTTATGGATTAGTCTTTTTTTAATAGCTTTTGTGAACATGGCCAGCTGCCTGTGACCACTGAAACTACCAGAGTGTTGAATTATGTGTTTAAATTATTTATTTGTTGCTGATAACTCTGTTTCTATAATCTGACGAAGCGTGTTGCGGATAATAATATGTACTTTTAGGTTATTAAACTACCTTGCATTTTTATTTATATAAATAAAATAAAGAATTTTTTTGTAAATAAAATAAAAAAACATTTATTTAGTTACATTCCTGATAGTTACTACATAAACTAATTCTTTCTAGAGCTCCGATACTACAAGCAGTCCTATAAACATTTACAAAACAATTAAGTTTCATTAGAGCTTGTAATATTATTGATTACGTAGTTTCTAGTCATGGATATCCGAATATATGGTTCTAATGCCGACACAACAATAGTACGGTATTTTTTCTGTTTACGCGACTGGTAGATATGTGTACCTACAACAATAGTTGTAAAATGAATTATGTCAATGTGAGATTACATTTTAACGTGTAAGAATAGTTAAACCATAATTATTTTTTAATTTGAAAATTGGAAACACATTAGCAAGAAATACGACATGTTTTATTGACACAGCTTGTACAAAAAGGGCCGTAAAAGTACTGTAATTAATAGCAGATTTACTTGTAGTTACTGTAAATGTATGAAGCCAAATAATTGTGCCAAACATTGTTATATTGTGACGTAATAAACGAATTGTCAATGTATTTCTAAATGTTTTATTGTCATGTAAAGGTCGCATGTGCAACGTGTTAGATATCATCGCAATGGGAAATATTCTTTGTCAAATGTTAAAAGGATATATTAAACGATTTTGAAATCCAATAGGTCGTAAATATTAATGGGCGCAGTCTCTCTTTCATTGTGTTGCTATGTATATGTTTTCTTTTGTTTCTGTGGATGGGCAGACAAGCTGACGAACCACCTGGGCCCGGTGAGTTTCTCGCCGGATCTTCTCAGTGGGTCGCGTTTCCGATCCGGTGGTAGATTCTGCGAAGTACTGCTCTTGCTAGGGCCAGTGTTAGCAACACCTTCGGTTTGACATCATAGGCTATCAGCATAGGTAGGAAAAAAAAATTACACCTGGTCTTAAGTAGAACCTTTAGACCTTACGATCCGTCCAGAAATATAAGGTTGGAGTCCCAAATCTATTATAAAATGGTGTCCCGACGTCAGAAACGCTAGAAACACGCCTGGTGGTATTTACGCGTATGCAAATTTCTTTTTATGGTGGACGTCTGTGAACACTTGTTAGTATGTATTTTCGTAGGAAAATTGATACGTACTGAATGTAAATTTCAGAAAATTCTTTATTATAATTTGACAAATACCCATCGCTACCAGACTGTATAATTTTGTTTTTCTTTCTAAGAGAGTAACACCAGGTTTCTAACTTAGCTACTTCTGAATGTATTTATTAACAATTTACTTCAATATTCCACTTTTAGTAACAATTGTTGTTAAGTAAAAAGGTTAAGTGAAAAACGCATATTTTCGCCAATAGACTCATGACACAAAAAATATACTCATCTATTGGGAACGATGGATTGATGTTAAAAAAAATGAGTATTCCCTTAGCTCATTCAGCGACTCTCATATGTCACTGAACCCACCAATACCAACAGCATCATAAGGATGTTACATATGACCGCTTTTACACCAAAAAATTATTAGAGTAAAATAATTTTTAAGATTATGTATATCGAGATTTGAAATGTTTATTTGTTTTTAGTGATAACTTTGCAAGTCCACAGGAGAGCTTTTTTAAGTTTTAATTTTTTGAAAAAATATCTTTACACAAAACTTCTTCGGCTATTTCAATGGGGTAAACTTAATTGAAGTTCAATTAAAACACCGAATTGTTGATAGTGATACTAATACTTACTGGTGGTAGGACATCTTGTGAGTCCGCACGGGTTGGTACCACCACCCTGCCTATTTCTGCCGTGAAGCAGTAATGCATTTCATTTTAAATGGTGGGGCAGCCGTTGTAACTATACTAAGACCTTAGAACTTATAAGGTGGGTGGCGCATTTACGTTGTAGATGTCTATGGGCTCCAATAACCAATTAACACCAGTTGGCCTGTGAGCTCGTCCACCCGTTTAAGCAATAAAAATAAAAAATCCGTTGGTTTTAACCAATATATATGACTCAAAGATGTGTGATTACCTTATGACCTGTGACCTGTGAGCTTAGAAATTACAGTCAAACCTGGATAAGCGAGAGTTCAAGGGAGCACAATCTCATTCTCGCTTATAGAGGTTTCTCACTAACCCGAGTTTCTCGCTAATGCTCCCTCTGAATTACATTTCGCGATTTTCCGGAATCAAACGCATTCACTATTTTAAGTTTATCACTTAATGACAGTACTTTAATTTTCCGTTTTGACATGCTGCAGAACAGAACTTTCCTTCGCAATTGATTAACGATAAACTGAGTAAGTCTGACAAACAGGACGGTACAGAGGCACACGTGTCCATTCGAAAAGAATGCGATAAAATAACAACGTTATTTAGTTCCACGAAATAGAATAGGTTCAATATTGAGAGAAAACAATTCAAAAACAATGGAAGGAATTTCCACAAAAGTTAAGAATGAGTCATAAAATAGCAGATGTTAAATTTGTAATTTGTTTTGTCATTTGTTCCTCCTAAATAATATAAATAAATAAAGCTCGACTGTCGCTTATAGAGGTATAGATAAGTAGCAGTCTCACTTACGGAGGTCCATGAGGGAAAAACGACTCTCACTTACAGATGTTTCTGTTTCTCGCTAATAGAGGTTTTGGGAGCTTAAAATGACGGGTCTTGGCTATTACTCTCACTTATAGAGTTTTCTCACTTATCCAGTTCTCACTTACCCAGGTTTGACTGTATATATCTGAACACCGGTACCGGCTCAGCGGTAGGCAGCAGCTTGGCTCTGCCCCTGGCATTGCTGAAATCCATGGGCGACGGTAGCCACTCACCATCAGGCGGGCCATGTGCTCGTCTGCCTACAAGGGCAATAAAAAAAAAACCAGGTGGGCTGTGAGCTCGTCCACCCATCTAAGCAATAAAGAAAACCGCCCCTTTACAAAGATATATGTAGCGTATTAGGCGAAATGCCGCTTAAACCAAATAACCTTTGGTTTGATCTGATTACGGGACGTCAGTTGATCCATCAATGAAAGTCAAACCTACTTTCTGTCCGTACGTCTGTGTATTGAATGAAGTAACCGAAAAACAATTACAAAAGCTTTAATTACTGCCCACCCACGCAACTGTCCTATTGATGGGGGAACGGTAACCTTTTGACCTGCAAGCTGCTTGTTTCAATTTGAAAACAATTATTACAAACAGTATTGTGCCTACGTAATTTTGAAAGTGCCCGCGGACATCAAGAACAACAACGCGAGCTATCAGTTACAGTATGTAACTATAGGTACATGTTTACCAGACAATTCACATACAATAATTGAAGACATGAGCGGATGAAGGCGTTAAGTGCCATTTTTAAGATTTTTGAGTTTTTACATTGAATGAAGGTGTTATGTGCCTATAAGCCATATTAGACCTTAAAACTCCC